AATGATACATTTTGGAAATAAAGCACACACATACAAAAACACAAAACACACACACACACATATTCTAAAATCACTGACAGTTTAAGCAATATTTTTTTTTTTTTAGATTTGAGGTGAGTGCTATATAATAATCCTTGCATGACCATAGTTATAAATATACAGTCAGACTGGCACTCTAATTTATTTTAACTAGACATTGTAAAATAAAACATTTACTTTGCAGTACAGTGCTTCTCAAACTTCCTAATGCCGTGACCCTTTTTTTTTTTTTTGTGACCCTTTAATATAGTTACCCAGGTTGTGGCCACCCCAACTATAAAGTTATTTTCATTGCTACTTCACAACTGTAGTTTTACTACTATTAAGCATTGTAATGTAAATACCTGATATGCAGGATATCTGATTCATGACCTCTGCAAAAGGGTGGTTTGATTTCCACAGGGATCTTAAACCACAGCTTGACTAGCACTACCCTAAGGCTCCCCAAACAATAAAAGACTATCGCAATTGCTGCTTGCTGTCTTCCAGAACTGGATGTTTAGACTCTATTGCTTAAGATGTTACATACTTTGGCTATAGTACTTGGAGAAATAAGTCTAAGAGACAGAATGAAGTGTTCACTACCTGTGTTCTGGCTCTTGAATCACTGAAAGATACTACAAATTGCTGGGGAGAATTATCACTGAAAGTCCATAGTTAATTGTGAATTCTTCAAGTTTTATGAGGGAAGGGGCAATCAAGAATGTCGTAAAATTAGTTAAAAATAAAATAATTTTTAAAATAATTATAATTTATTAAAATATTTTTTAATATTTTGTACTATTATAACTGTTTTTCCTTCCTCCAAGTCTTCCCAGATCTTCCTTTTCTCCACAATCATACAAATCCACAGCATTTTTTCTCTCTAACATTAAGAAACAAATGATTAACAAAAGAGAAAAGCCGAAACAAAGCATTATGAGGTTAACCCCCTCCCCAAACCCAACTGAGTCATTTTGTGTTGTCTGTCTACTGTTGGCCATTTGGCCTGCCTTGAGTATGGTTTGTAAACCCAGTGAGAAGCTGGGTTCTCACTGGAGAAAACTAGTTTTCCTTTACATGCTGGTATCAATTGAAAAATAGTTTCTGGATTAGGAATGGGAGCTTGTGTCTACTTCCCCTCTTAGTCCTGTGAGCCCACCTGGCTTAGCCCTGTGCATGCTGCCATATGAATCTCTGTGAGTTAATATGCACATGAGCCCTATTCTGTCCTAAAGGCCTTGTTTTTTGGTGTCTTTGATTGACACCCTCTCCTACAGTGTTTCTGCCTCCTCTTTTGCAAAGTCCCCAAATACTGAAGAATGGGGATGGATTTGATGAAAGACAGCTCAAGCAGAAAGTTCACTTGTTGTACAGAAAATCCAGGTTCCTTTTCTTGAAACAATATGATGGCTTCCAGCCATCCATAATTACCATTCCTCTGACCGCCTCAGGTGTGAAGCATATATTTGTTTTACAGATAAGTCTGTGATATATGCATACAAAAACATGTAAAATAAAATAAGCCAATCAGAACTTGAAATCTGATTTCTTAATAGACTTACTGGCAGCGCCACACATGGAAATTCACAGCTGTTTGGGGGAATTTAGATAAACCTGTGAACAAGATAGTCGCAGGCCTAGATTTAAAAACACAATTGATATTGCATTAGGAAATGAATATGATGTGGCAACAAAGGTGCTCATCAACATTTTTATTCATGAGATTAGGTTAGTACTGCAGCCATTATACATTTGAACAATTTATATTTTTACTGGTGGTGATACAGTGGTTTCTTATTTTCAGTTGTTTCTCATTACTATTTTATATATTTAAAAAAAACCCACAAAACACCATTCACGCTCTGAACACATGACAAATAAAAAGAGCTTAATAGCCCAATTAAAGTTAGAGGACCATTGTTGACTATAACCTTACCCCTTCCATGCCTGATAGCCCACTGTTAAAGAGAAGGCAGGAATAATATGAGTTGAAGAAAGGGGTGGAGTGTTAAGTAGATGTTTCTCCTGAAGGAAATGTCATTTAACACACAATATAAAGATAAAGTGATACAACAGAATACTTCAGGGCAGGATTTTTTAATTTTATTTTTCTATATTAATTCAAGTTTATTCACTTTGTATCCCAGCAGTAAGCCCCTCCATATTTCCTCCCAACCCCACCTTTCCTCTCTCACCTCCTCCCTTGCCCCTCTCCAAGTCCACTATGGAGAAGATCCTCCTTCCCTTTCATCTGACCCTAGCCTATCAAGTCTCATCAGGACTGGCTACATTGTCTTCTTCTGTGGCCTGGCAAAGCTGCTCCCCCTTCAAGGGGATGTGAATGAAGAGCCAGCCACTGATTTCAAGTCAGAGACAGGACCTTCTTCCCTTACTAGGGAACCCACTTGGACACTGAGCTGCCATGGGCTACATCTGAGCAGGAGTTCTGGGTTATCTCCATGAATGGTTCTTGGTTGGAATATCAGTCTCAGAAAAGACCCCTGTGCCAGATTTTTTGGTTCAGTTGCTCTCCTTGTGGAGCTCCTGTCCTCTCCGCATCTTACTATCTCCCCCTTATTTCAAAAAATTCCCTGCACTCTTCCCAAAGTTTGGCTATGAATCTTAGCATCTGTATGAATACCCTCATGGGTAGAGTCTTTCAGAGGCCCCTGTGGAAGGCTACTGTCCTATTCCCTGTCTTCTCCTACCTCCAATGTCTATTCTGTTTGCCTTTCTAAAGGAGGATTTGCTTCTTCTCTAGGATTCTCCTTGTTGTTTAGCTTCTTTAGGACTATACATTAGTATGTTTATCCTATATTATATGGCTAATATCTACTTATAAGTGAGTACATATCATGTGTGTCTTTCCGCTTCTGGGTTACTTCTCTCAGGATGTTCTTTTCTAGTTCCCACCATTTGCCTGCAAATTTCGTGATTTCTGTTTTTAATTGCTGAGTAGTATTCCATTGTATAAATGTACCACAGTTTCTTTATCCATTTTTCAGTTGAGGGGCTTCTAGGTTGCTTCCAGATTCTGGCTATTATGAATAACACTGCTATAAACATAGTTGAGTAAATGTCCTTATTGTATGGTTGAGCATCTTTTGGATTTATACCCAGGTGTGGTATAGCTGGATCTTGAGGTAGCACTATTCCTAATTTTCTGAGAAAGAAAAAGATTTATTTTCAAAGTGGCTGTACAAGTTTACATTCTCACCAGAAATGGAGAAGGGTTCCCCTTTCTCCACAACCTCTCCAGCATGTGTCATCCTTTGTGTTTTTTATCTTTTCTATTCTTTTATTTAAGTTTTCCTTCATTTAATATTATAATTTATTACGATTTATTCAATTTGTATCCCAGCTGTGTCCTCCTTAATCTCCTCCCAAACCGGGCCCCCTTCCCCTTCTCACCTTATGCCCCTCCCCTAGTCCACTGATAGGTGAGATTCTCCCCACCTACTATTTGATCCTAGTCTCATCTGAACTGGTTGCATTGTCTTTCTCTGTAGCCTGAAAAGGTTGCACCCCTTGGGGAGGGGGAGGATCAGAGAGCCTCTCACTGAGTTCATGCCAGAGAAAACCTCTGTTCACTTTATTAGGGAACCTACTTAGAGACTGAGTCTATGGGCAACATCTGAGCCAGGGTTCTAAGTCCTCTCAGTGCATTGTCCTTGATTGGGGTATCAGTCCCTGCAGGGCCCAACGGCTCAGTTTTATGGCTCTGTTGACTACTTTTGGAGTCCTGTCCCCTCCAGGTCTTTTTGTCTCCCCCTTCTTCCATAAGTTTACCTGTACTCTGCCCAAAGTTTGGCTATGAGCCTCAAGATCAAAAACTCATCTGACAACACATGCTGGAGAGGATGTGGAGAAAAGGGAACCCTCCTACATTGCTGGTGGGAATGTAAACTTGTACAACCACTTGGGACGTCATTCTGGCACAAGCATTGGTCTTTAGAAGAGAGAAAAGGCAGAAATAGCAAAACAATGGATGAAATTTGCCTTCCCTGATTTGTGATATTAATAATTACAGCTTGAGAATAGGGAGTTAATGTATTGTTAGACCCGTACTAATACAGAGCCATAAAATATACAGGATCTTTCTAAGATGAAAATATGGAGGCTCAAGACAGACTATTTATTAGAAAATATTGTAGATACCTCATACATGCATCCTAACAATGTACAGAGTATCTAAAAAGGCATCAACTCTACACAAAGAACTACTGGCTATTAAGAAATGCTCAGGGTCAGATAAATAGTGTTCATGTATAAATATATGCATATAATGCAAATTATTAGAATGTTGTAAAAAAAGAATATGAGAATGCTTAGAAGTAGTAAAACAAAGGAATAAATGTTGTAATTTGTGAATGTGTGTGTCTATGTATATATGCAAGGATGTGTGCCTGTGTCTATGTATATCTGTGTATCAGTGTGCACGGGCACGCACGTGTGTGTGTATGTGTGTGTGTGTGTGTGTGTGTGTGTAAGAGAGACAAGGAGAGTTTGTGCTGTGTTTAAGGATAGTCCAATTGTATAGCAATTGTACTGTCTGTGGTGAGACTTTACGAAAGTGCTCATTTCCTGTTATTTATGTACTTATTCTATCCCAGACTTCCATCTCCTTGGCAAAATGGATCTGCTGATTACTAGGAAACTCTTGCTTAGATTCTAATACATTCAGTAATCTTCACTCATTCTGACCAATTCAAGTACACCCTCGAATTTTGTAAACTAAACTTATTTGTGGAGAATATTTGATATGAATGTCCCAATACCATTACTAAATTCTGTATTAAATGCCCATGACATAATGACAAGTGTTCATTTTGAATTTAACATTTCCAAAGGATCATTTTATTTTTTTAATAAGATAACCACTGAACTCAGAATTGCATCAAAGAGGTAGGGATTCAGGGGAGCTTTGAAGGACCGGATCATAAAGGACCGTCTCAGTGACAGAGGACATGGATGTTCGCTCAGCAGTTGTTGTTATGAACTTCTCTGCACTTCAAGACCTTGATAAAATTGTCAACCTTATGTGTATCCCTGCGCACGCAGCGGTACAGGGTACGAAGAGCAGAAAAGCGATTGGCTTCATCAGACGACTGCAAATCTGACCATCCTGACCAGAAAGCGTAGTCCCTTTCAACATCTCCCGGATGAACCTAAACATGGAAAAGAAAGGGATAATTTTCCTTATTGATATTACTTGGTCATATTAGCTTCTTCCATATGAGTGTGTAAGTATGTATGTGTGTGGAGAGCACATGCGAACAAATGCACACATATGCATTAGGAGATCAGAGGTCAACATTGCTTAAACTGCCACTGCTGGCTTTTATCTTTCTCTATATTTATTTGCTTGAAAAAGATTCTTTTATTTACCACAGACTCTGCAATGATCTCTGTCTTCCTAATGCTGGATACAAATTGGAAAGTAAGAAGTCCAAGTATCACTATTTGCAGATGATGCTTGGATAGAAAGGAATATGCACTATAACGCTTTATTTTTAATGTGGATTCTGAGATCAAATTCCTTGATGTAAAAGAAGGCATTTGTAGACTAAGCCATTTCATTTGCTTCATTCTCTAAACTGGTAAAGTTTGAATTGTAGTAGATAGAAAAATTATTAGTATACAGATGGTTTGCCATGCATATGGACCAAGGTATTTCAAAGGCATTAGGCTTCTAAAAGTAAACATGATATAAAAATCCATATTTTCTGATGAGTCTTTTTTTCTGGAAAGAGGAATATTCATCCTGGAGTAACCTGAGTGATCGAGAATCTGGAAAATGTTTAACAGTATTTGTGTATTTGATCAAAGGACAATAAATAGTTGTAGTATTTTCTCAGCACATTCCTGAGGCATCATTCATACTTAAGTTTTAGGGAAAATGTTCTTTTATTCTTCTATATTTAAACTCAATCAGTTCTCCATATAACTTGTTCTTCCAAACCTTTGGGTATATTAGCCATTTCCTAAGTATGTTAAGGTTTAGGAATTCCAAGAATGATACCAGATCTTCTGAGTTAGTCAGGGAGATACATCACACCTGTGAAAGCTGCCTTTTGAGTCACTATGAGAAACATCTACTTTCTATTGAGAGTATTGGTGTGGGATTTTTGGTAAAGAATGTGAAGAAGGTAAAAATTACAAACAGAAGCTCCTTGCTGGCAAGGCTATGAATGAATCGGATATGTGAATATACATATATCTATATCTATATCTATATCTATATCTATATCTATATCTATATCTATATCTATATCTATATCTATATCTATCTATCTATATATATATATATATGTTTCAACATCAGAAATGAAGTATTGAAAAATTCACTTCTCATTAAACAAATTGCCTCATTCATGCAGGAGATGGGGAAAGAAATGTGAAGACTGACTGGGCTTACCCTGCTGAGTATGGTGGACAGTCCCTCCTGCAGTCCTAGAATTCTTTCTTCCAAGTCTTTTGTCCTTGACAGCAGAGTATCAGACACACCTGGAAGAGCAGCCACTGCAGACACCATGAGCTTCAGAGGCTCTTCCCAGGCTAGTAGGACACTGATAGCGGCTTTCAGAAGGTCTTCTGACTAAACAATCACGAAGAACATCTTATATTAACTAAACACCAATATAAGTGATATACAACTAAGTTGATATATGCGGTGGCTGAATGAGGGTTTGCGAGCTACAGTATTGATTCGTTATGAATGGGAATATAGAAAACACTTGTAGCACACAACACAGAAATAATATTCTGTCACAGGATTACAATTTGCTCAAGTAAAAGTAGTTATGCTTAACAATGTATTTTTTTAGAATATCAAACTAATCATATTTTGTTTTCACTGTACATTGTTACTGTCTTTAGTCCGTGTGATTGTCACACTTGAATGGTTTTCTTGTCTATGAGTAACCAAGTTGTGATTGAGCATTATATGTACCTATGAGATTTTATTGAGGTAAAGTAGATGTCAATACTGTCAGAGATTAGAGGCCTAAATTATTTTCACACTAATGGTCCTATTGCTCATTCACATATACACTTCTGCTCTCTGTATTATTATATAATATTAAAATAGAAGTACAATGAAAAAAATAAGACATTTAGAATCATGATGGACTTCTTCCCCTTGACTCTAGCATAGAAGTCCACTTTTTGGTCAGGTTCTGAAGAAAAATAAATCAGTGTTGCCTTTTTAAATCCAACATGCGATTTTGACCATATAAGTTTGTGCCCATTACCAGAAAATATATTATTACCACATCTGATTGAAAACTTTTGCTTCCATGTCTGTTAACTACTGTCCTGGTAATAAAATAAAAAATGAAGTACTAAGGGAATCTGATGGAAATTTTACAGGATACATGTAAATCATGTGAATAAAAAATGCTGGCCAAATGGTAATAGCAAAATCCGTTGCCTCAAACTTTGCAATTTAGGGATTAGGATTGAAGTATTAAGTTGAATGAATTTCAGTTTCTTATTCTACTTAGTAGTCATGTAATTCAATGTCTATATAAGCTTTTGAAACCTCAGTTCTTTATGGTCCTATCAATGACATGTTTAAAGAGAACTGTTTTAAGGATTAAATGCATCAATGTCAATGGACTGCTTCTTGAGGATTCTAGATAAGTAGATCTGAGCAAATGCTCACCTCTTCCTACACATCTTTTTCATTTAATTTTCATTATTATACTCATGATTTATTCATGAGAAGAGTTTGTGGGTAGGTTTCTGGTATTATGAATGAACAGGAAGGGGAAATATATTATATGTGTGAGATTTGCACACATAAGACCTTTAGGGTTAATCATACTCAGTTGTTTATATCAGAGACTGAGAAAGAAGATGTTACAACAGTTATATATGATAGGTGCCAAGATACGCAATCCTATTCATATCACAAGAGTTATCATCAAGAGTAATGTATTTTATGTAAAGGAAACTATTTTTTCAGTTTATTTTCACTTGATTTACAAGAGAAGACTAAGTTGCTATGGAGGTTCTCATAAATAATGAAGAAACAAAAGTACGTCCCTGTCTTTCATGTAAAAAAGAATCGTTAATTATTTAGTAGTATGCTTCCAGAAGGGAGTTTAGTATTCTTCCATAAACACTACTGTATCTGCAACTCTTCCTCACATAAATGTATATTTAACCAGGAATATCCAAGTCACATTAAAGCATCCCAGAATATATTAATGATGATCTCCCAGGAAATTTACTGCTAAAACCTGGAGCTCCGAATGGTCAATTTAGTAGTCTACAGTAATATGAAGCAATCCTTTGTCTTAGTGTGAAATTATCAACCCAGAAAACATGATTGTCTGTTTCTTCTTCTTCCCTTTTCCTGTATCTGAGATCACCATACCTGCTGTGGCGGCAGAGAGCTAACACAGAACAAGTATGCTCGGTGTTACTTCAGCAGTTTTTGTGAAAGCCGTGAGGGAAACTTACTTTTGTCTGGTGGACTTGCTCACTGTTTTCTGGAGTAGGGATTGAGGCAGTGTGGCAAGGGCTAAACATCAGGTACTGGTTCAAAGTTCTACCATACTTCATATCCTGGAAAAAATGGAAACTTCTCATTTACTGGGGATAACTATTGAATAAATACATTTATGACCACATCAGTAATGAAATTTGTAAATGTAAATTCTTTCAGCAAATGATAAATATACAGCAATTTAAACAAGGAATGAAGTAAAGACTGTCTACTTACATTTTCTGCCCATTGTAAAAACAATAAAAATTTCTACCTTGCAATGCTCTTCCTTTCTTCCCTATACTCTTGCTTTCTCCTTTCTAAATGGTATTGTTTAGAAGTGAAGCACTAAAATAAATATATTTTTTAAATTGAGGGTTTAAGTACAGCTGCTTTTAAGTTTCAGGTTAATGCTATGATATAATGCCCATTTTTTTCTCTCATAGTTAAAAATATCTCGTCCACTTGGCACACAGTTATCTATTTCCTTTAAATAGGCACTGTAAAATTAAATAATTACTCTTAAGTACACAGTCCTATTGATGGTATTAAAAGAAATCATTAAAAATCTAGGTGTGTTCTAAAGAAATATTTACCAATGAATGAAGGAAGGTTTTATGTTATTTTATTTTAATTTAATTTTTAAATTTATTACAGTGTATTCAGTTTGTATCCAAACTGTAGCCCCCTCCCAATACCGCCCTTCCTCCGTCCCTCTTCTTGAAGGGTTTAAAATAATTATTTAGTAGTTAAACATTAGTCAATAGAAGGTTGTATTTCCTGAAGAAATGTGTTATTTAAAATGCATATTTTTAATGCTGGCAAGCAGTAAATTTGTAGAAGTGTAGTGGATTTCTAGAAATAATGTACAGAGAAAAGATTTTTCAATGTAGAATATGTAACAAAAGAAACACTGGTGGGTAAGAATGGCAAGGGAAATATTTATTCAATGTAAGTCTAAAGATTTATGCTCCGTATTTTCAATTTCGCACTGAAGTTTTGTTTGTTTGTTGTTTTCCCTTATTGATTGGTCCTAACCCAATCAAGTATACTTAAAAGAATAGAGAGAAAAAAAAAAAGAAACTCCTCCTTCCTGAGAAATTAAAAACAATTCAATCCTCATCATTTGTGTGTTTCTGGGCAGCTTTTCTCTTAACATTGTTTTCCATCGTTTAGTTTTACTCTATTCATACAATTAATTGCAAGGTAATTCCTCTAAAACGGGTGCAAAGTCTCCATAGTGGTAAGTCAAATTGGCCATATAGACAGAACCCCTTCACAAAAGACAGGATTTCACAGTGCACCCAATCAATACCTTTTGGACTTCATATGAAAAATGCTGCTTTGAAAAAGTTCATTAATAAAAATTGAGCATCTACTTCTTTCTTTACATATCTATTTTTTCATGAGACTTCCCAATGTCCTTGCTATATGTTACAGTGTCTACTTTTCACTGATGAAATCATTGCATTTGAAATTTGTTTCATGATGGGTTCTGCTTTTGAGTAGAGTTTGATGATTGCTCTTTCAGAATGGAAACCATTTCTAGGACACCACAAGAAACTCCAAAGAATCAACAAATCTGGACTCACAGGAACTCAGTAATACAGATGGACAATCAGGGAGCTTGCAGGGCCTCTGTATATATGTCATAGTTGTGTAGCTTGGTGTTGTGGGATTCCTAACAGAAGGTATAAGGACTATTTATGTTGCCTTTGTTTGCTTTTGGGACATGTCCTCCTATTGAGCTGCCCTGTCCAGCCTTAATATTACTGCAACTTGATATGCCATGTTGTTTGCTATCCCTGCTCTTTTCTGAAGGAAGGTGGAAGAGGACTGGATAGGGAGCAGCTGGAGGAGGCGGGAGGTAGGGGCAAGAGAAACAGTGTTGGGACATAGGTACTTACAAACTCAATGAATGCTTTCGAAGCAAGGTCATGGGTGGAGTGTGACCATCCAACCACACGCTCGTAGAGGCTTCCAGTGGACACCCCGTATTTTGGTGAGGAAGTCACAGGCTCCCAAAGGAGCACGTTTGACACTGCCAGCAGAAGGAATGTCCCAGCTATAAAGAGAAATGACACTGAAATGACCTAATTCAAATGAAGTTTCATTAGTGAGACTGTGTAGAACACACTGTTTGTCCTAAGTTTCCTGTGCTACAATAGTTGTTCTGTAGATACAGCATTTTAATAATTTTGTTCAGTGAGAGAACATAGGTGACTAGTGCTATCTCTCCCTTCCATAGATTGAGAATTTCTTCAGCTTGGCTTTGCCTTAGCAAAGCATCTAAATTTATAAACATCTTTAGCTAAGATTAATCCTGAGACAGTCCTCAAGCCACTTTGTGTATTTTATAGAATTGGGAATTATGTTTATTTTTACTACATTAAGTAAACATTAATTAGTTCATTAATTAATATTTCTTGCAAATGTCAGTTGAAACTTAAGCTGACTTGTTAAAATAGGCCTTCTTTTCTTTTTGTTATTTATTCCCTACATCAAATTGGTAAAGTCACAACTCTACTGTCAGTGTCTACCTAAGATTCCAGAACTTAGCTCTTCCTCAGGTGCATTTATGTGAGCAAAGAATTATTCAAGTCCTCATGCCCCATAATATCACTTGTGGTTTCTGTGACTGACATAAATAAACTATTGAATCCTATGTTCTCAATAAAGTTCAACTTCTCAGTTCCATTAACAAGGTCATTTTTTATTGTCTTGATTTTTGTCCTGCATGATGTCCTGTGCCTGAAAGATGGTTACAAGTATTCATGCATTAGAAACCTGTAACAACGTTCCATTCTTTCTCCTATGTCAACTTTTTCAGGGGAATTTCCTTAGGGAACCATTGGCCTCAAGATTGATTCAGCAACTCCTGACAAAGTACTAATTCTCAGCTCAATGTTGTCTTGTATCTTGGTGAGTCACAGAAAGCAATAGTTTTCCAAATACTACAGTGCCGATCAATAAGAACAAAGAATCTTTTCCATCCAAACTATCACCATGAAATAACATATTATTAAAGCGCAGTATGGATAAAATGTTACTTACTGAAGCATGGTTGAGTCAAGGAGAGCTGCATCTTGGAGAAGTCCTTCTGAAGTGTGGACTACACCAGAAGGCTGCTACACCTGAGTGTTATCTTCCTTCTACTTACTGCCTCCCATATATACTAACAGATTCTTCCCAAGGTCATGCAGGTCATCAGGCAGAAGGAAGTAATGCCTTTTGTCATGGTAAAGGTTTCATGATTCCATCCACTCAGTAAGTATAAAAATATGCCTTACTCTTGCCACAGTTACGTCTGACATATCTGTTCTGCATTTTACAGCAGTGTTCAGGGTTCAAATTATTTTGAAAATCACAAAGGCCATCTCAGTTCCATAGTGACTCAGTAACATGTCAAGGAAGAAAATACATTTCCTTATCCCTTTTCTCTAGATCAGAGTTCTATATCCTTTCTGTCCTGTTCCTGTCAACTGTTAACTCCCCTAGGTGTCTCAGGTGGTAACAAAAGCCCTCTGTAGTTCTTTTTTAGCTTTGGGCTGGCATATCACGGCAACAGCCCATTATTCTCAGTGTTTAATGAAAATGTGGATTTCTGACTGTAACTAGCAAACTTTACTAAAAGCTTCTTTTCACAAAGTAGATACTGCGTCAGCATTAAGCAGGCAGAAGAACAGATGTTTAAAAAGCACTTTGATAGCCATATGATATATACTTTACAAAAGCTGATGGTACAAGCAGAGATGGTGAGCATGAAACATGTTTTTGCGACATTTTACAAGGTACCTTGTAGATTGCCTCCAGGATGGTTAGCTTTACATCATTTTAGAAAATTATTTCTTGTAACCATAACTCATTGCAACATTAATAAAAGTATTCATTACCTCGTTGATGGGCATCTGGGTTGTTTCCAGGTTCTGGGTATTACAAATAAAGCTGCTACAAACATGGTTTAACAAATGTCCTTGTTATGTACTTGAGCATCTTTTGGATATATATGTGCCTAGGAGTGGTATAGCTGGATCTTGAGGAAGCGCTATTCCTAGTTGTTTGAGAAAGCGCCAGATTGCTTTCAAGAGTGGTTGTACAAACTCACATTCCCACCAGCCATGGAGGAGGGTTCTCCTTTCTCCACAACCTCTCCAGCATGTGTTGTCACTTGAGTTTTTGATCTTACTCATTCTGATGGGTGTAAGGTGGAATCTCAGGGTTGTTTTGATTTGCATCTCTCTGATGGTTAAGGACAATGAGCATCTCTTTCTGTAAGTGTTTCTCTGTCATTCTATATTCCTCTACAGAGAATTCTCTGTTTAGCTCCGTACCCCATTTTTTAATTGGATTACTTGATTTATTGCTTTTTAACTTCTTTAGTTTGTTATATATTCTGGATATGAGCCCTTTGTCAGATGTAGGGTTGGTGAAGATCCTTTCCCAGTCTGTAGGCTGTCATTTTGTTTTGACAACACTGTCTTTTGCTTTACAGAAGCTTTTCAGTTTCATGAGGTCCCATTTATTGATTGTTGCTCTTAGAGCCTGTGCTGTTGGTGTTCTGTTCAGGAAGTTGTCTCCTGTGCCAAAGAGTTCAGGGCTCTTCCCTACTTTTTCTTCTAACTGATGTAGTGTATCTGGTTTTATGTTGAGATCTTTGATCTACTTGTACTTAGAATGATCTGGACCACAATAAATCTGGGCACAGGGGTCTTTTCTGAGACTGTATCTACAACCAAGGACCATGTAAGGATATAACCTAGAACCCCTGCTCAGATGTAGCCCATGCTAGCTCAATATCCAAGTGGGCTCCCTAGTAAGGGGAACAGGGACTATTTCTAATATGAACTCAATGGCTGTCTATTTGACCTCCTCCCCCACCTGAGGGAGGAGCAGCTCTGCTAGGCCACAGAGGAGGACTTTGCAGCCAGCCCTGAAGATACCTGATAAGCTAGGGTCAGATGAAAAGGGAGGAAGACCTCCCCCATCAGTGGACTTGGAAAGGAGTAGGGAGAAGATGAGGGAGGGAGGGTAGGATTGGGAGGGAAAGAGGGAGCAGGATACAGCTGGAATACAAAGTTAATAAACTGTAACTAATATTAAAAATAATAAAAATTTAATTAAAAAAGAAAGAATCACAACTGAAAAACAACAAACAAACAAAAAAACCCCAAAAGTATATATACATTTCCATCAGGTTGATCAGTTTACCAGGTAGTTGAGTAATAACATCCATTGATAACAGTCCTCTATAGGCTGCACAGTACTTATTGACACCAAGTAAACCATTCCTTGCCATGGCCATTTGAACTATTTAGAAAGGTAAATATTTTGACTGTTAAGTCAAGAAGTGCAGTCTCATAAACAAACAAACAAAAAAATCTATCCATTTAAATCTAGTACACAAACAAAAGTTTGTCCAGAGTTTGATCCTTCCATGTGAAAGTTTTCAAATACTCATAAGAATGAAATTTAACTCCTATACTGAGATACTATTCCATTAATTTTGAATAGCCAGAAATTGTGATTTTCACGTATGGAGGGTACCTTCTTCTAATCCATTAATTTCTATTTCTTTTTCCTGAAGGTTTTCAACTAAATAAGTCATGTAGAAGAAGCATTATATGGATAGAAAATTTTCAGGCTAGACAGTTTCAAAGAGTAGAAATTGTCAGTGAGCTTGATAATCTATAGAAGAAACAAGAAAAACTGTAGGAAGTTTTAACAGGATAAAAAGAAGTCTCAAGACGCAACTAGGATTAAGTGTTCAAATAGAATAGATCAGCATGTGTGAGAGACATGATTCTGATTAATTAGATATCTATATACTACCTCATTCTGTCTGAGACTCTTTCCTTATGCTGACATCTGCCATGATGTTCACTGGATGGATTCAGTTGTGCTGCACAAATGAATAAAAGAAAGTAAGTAAAACAATAGCCCATTGCTTTTAGCTATGCTCATTGCCTTTCTAGCTATCTTAAGGGTTCTGTAGGGCACTGCATGGTTTGTTAATATGATTTTTAATTGTCTAAATGTTTAGCTCAATCGGCCTAAAGAAGACACAGCACTTTTAACTCTGACATAGTTCTGTTTCTCAGAGTGATACAAGCCCTACTTACTGTTCACCTTCAAGCAAATAACCCTAGATATGACGCAAATCACAGGGACACATATCTCATTCACCTTCAGTGTCCTTATTTCAAGGGGAAAAGTGCACAATGCGCTGTGATGCAGAGATAATTTTGAATCTTTATGGCCTGCTGAATTCCAACAGAAATATTTTACCATTTGCATACAGTGACTCCCTTGATCAACCTTTTCCTTTTTTTTTTTCTCTCCATCTTGACTGTATTCATATTCAGAAAGGCTAAAATGCTTTCCTTTAAACATTGCTTTGTGACTTAGCTCTGTAAGGGGGAAATACATTCTAAACACAGTACTTACCACTTTTTGCCCAACAGATTATTACCATCTCTTTTTTTTTTCTTTTTATTATCAGTTACATTTTGTTAACTCTGTTTCCCAGCTGTATCCTGCTACCTCATTCCCTCCCAATCCCACCCTCCCTCCCTCATCTAGATTATTACCATTTCATTGGAAAAAAATTAACATTTTTCTCTGCTATGTAGCATTTGCTGTCCATAGCTGACTTACACCATGAGCCAAGAAATTTCCATTCCTTTCCTTAAATAAGGAAAGAAGTGTGCAAATACAGGAATGTGTATTTCCTACAACCAATAACATGTGTCTACAGTAGCCAACAGGTCAACCTGGGTCCCACCCACATCTCTTAATCTATATGAAAGGGAAAGATGGGCCAATTCATAGTTCTGCCTGGATATGATCAATCTTGTTCAATTCATAAACTACAGAATGCCTTCAGGATAGTGTAGAATAAATTTCACTTCTCTCTCCTCTGTTTAAATTATTAGGTAAAAGAAACAATGAAATTCATTTTCTTCTACTTGTAAATATTTCTATGTTTTTATGGAAACAATAAATACACATTTTGTGGGCTTGTGGATACACTTGCCTGCTCATGAGTCATTTTATTCAAAAGCATCCATTAAAAAAATCTCAGAGCAAACGGGTCTCTGTGGTTGAAATACAGGAAATTCTAGCTATTGGATTTTTCCCTCGTGCTGTGATTTGAGTCTGAGGCTCTCTCAGTTACATGAAAGCATATTGGATGGACAGATGAAAAAAATTGGGGATCCTTTGATTTTGATATTATCTCAGTTTTTCAAGGTCCTTTTCTTAATATTTTTAAAACTAGTGTGAATGCATAGGGTCAAGAGTTCAAACTTCTTATAATTTTAAAGATTTTTTAACTTTGATTTTAAAAGTTGTTATAAAGGCCTGAATATTGTAAATTAAAGTGGCCATGGTGTGGCCCCCGGAACTGCCTACAGCTGTCATATCAGGGCTAGGCTTCAGGTAAGTGTCAACACGCAGGACACCTGTCTACATTTCGGATTTAGAAATCAAATTCATACCCACGTGATCATACAGAAGCAGTTTGTCAAAAGACCTAGACCATGGCCTGCTTGTGTTCAATATAAAAACAAACAAACAATCACCAAAACAAAACAAGGAAGCAAACAAACACTCTGGTTGGTGAATTTCATGATTAGGAGAGTTGTAGAAAATGGTTTAGGTATTTTCCTGATTTATTTTGTTTTCTTTGTGACAATTTGTAGAATATGTACATTCCATAATCTATTGAACCATTTGCTGAAGGAGAGATTAGCCACGAGACAGAAAAGCTCAATTTTCTATAATGGGGCTGGGAACTGGCTCCTCTGATTCTAAATATCATTTCTGGCCTTCCTGTGGTTGGGTTTGATTTCATCCTTGCCTTCTCATTTTCAGTGCTATAATCTTATAGACACATCTGAGATGAGCCCTTTGTTTCCTCTGAGGTTAAACTGTTTGTCTTGGAATGAAGCTTTTATGGATGGCAGGTATTAAAAGGATAGGAGGTATTAAAAGATGAAAAACAAGAGTTCTACAAGGAGGCAAACATTCCAGCATGTTGGAAAGCTCATTATGCAAAACAAAACAAAAAACATCCTGGTTATATTC